AATGCTGTCTGCTGGAGAATGACAATTAATATCGTTTCCTGCCCTAGCTCCCACCTTTCGGGCAACTCCATTTCTCTTAATCTCTTTACATGTTTACTCAAACTCTGCCATCTTAGGGTGACAGTTGTCGATACAAATATGTTGGCTAGTCCATCGACATGGTGATTTTAGCTGTTTTCCTAATATCTATATGGCTTTTTTCACATGAAGATGGGGGAGATGTCGCCTCTTGCATTGGGTGCCTCGACTTCCACATGAAGTGGGCGAGTGTGCGCCGTGCAATGCCATTGACCCTCACCATACAACATTGATTATTCTGCAGGAGCTGATCAATCTTCTTGGTTATTTTTAGATTTTTTCACGATGCACTTAGTAGAAAAGGTTTAGGGAATCCTTTTCACTGAATATAGTTATATAAATGACTCGAAAACTTCCACTTTCCATCAAATTTGGTAATGTAGTTGGTCACCTGTGTCTTAGTTTTTACTGTTTTATGTATTTGATCATGGATGGACACAAAAAATTCCAGCTATAGCTTGTGAGTTACATTCATTTTCATATTTTACTTTTCTCAAATGTACCAAGTGGATTAAATAACGAACAGATCATAAATTCACTGAACAAAATATGCATTTAAAAATGGGCATTTTTCCATTATTAACTAAGAACCTATGATTTGTCCGATGCCAAATGCAGAGATGGCGCATCATTGGCTGCTTCATCTCCCTCCGCTAAAAGAACACAGGATTTGAAAGTTTCCTCTGCTGAATTCTCTGCGATCAATTGAGCATAAGATTACATAAAGGTACATTGCCGTCATGAACGAGGCGTAAAATGTTTATGAACATATGTTTATCTCTATGATCATGACTTTGACATCTGAACCGGCGATAGATGCAGGCGTAAAATACTTGCTAGAGATGCAGACTCAGAGGTCAAAACTTACCAAACATTGTATTTAGGAAGTTGATGAATAGCCGACCTGAATTGAGGCCAATGTAAAAAAGAATAGTGCTAATACTCTGTCACCATCGCGTACGCTGGCACCCCAACGCCCAATACCTGCAAAACAAAATAACCAACATAGTCATATTACAATCAATAACACTCAAAATTAATCCAATGACAAAAATCCCACACAAGAAGATCTTCCCAAGTTTCATTCATGTACTGGACAGGTTTAAGAGTTGTGTCTTTGGAGTTTGAAATTTAATTATGTCTAGTAGTAACCTAGATTCAATATTCAACTGACCTGGTCTAGGTAGTAAGAAATTCAATTGCATGTAACCAGCGTTGAGAACATAGCCCATACCAGAAAAGAACTTTTACAAAGAATGATCAAAGTGTGTCCGAGACTCAGTAGCTCCAAACAAAACTCATCAGAATTTCTTCATAAAACCTCATCAGAAATAACGAGTACAGGATCTTCTTTACTTTTCGAGATATCTAAAGCAGTCAAATTCTAATCCTTTCCAGATTTTTACTGTTCTTGATTTCCTTACATTTTTCATAACTAAGTGATTCATAATTAAATTGCAACAATTCTACATAACTACTGATCTATTAAACGCAACAATCAATAGAAGAACTACAACCACTGTAGTGAACGGCCGTGGTAAGTTCGATCCAATCAAGCCATAAACTTCAGAAGTCTTAGGACCAAACCAGAATAAGCCCTTGTCATCATGATCTAAAAATGACACAATTGCTCTCGCTTCTCTTTGAAAACTATATAGCCTTCTGGCTATTAACCAAGTCCGATCCTCCATCACCTTCCTCTTAAAACTTCACCTCTATTACTGGACCAAAAACAATAAATCAGCTTTAGTAACCGATCATTATAAATTGCTAACAATCTATCCTCAGAAAAATAGAAAAAAACCTTTCTAAAGAGAATACCAAGAGAGACATGTATAAACAGTTTCAGATTGTCTCCTCATGCCCGTGACAATTTTTTGCCTTTTCAGTTAATGTATAAAATTCATTGTCCTTAATTCATAAAAGAGAAAAAAACCGGGAAATCCACAAGAACCATAGCAAACCAATTAAATGCTATACAACAGTTTAAGATCTAATATTATTTTTTTAACAATTGAGTTCAGAAATGCGCTCAGTCTAAAATTCATACACTGGAAACACCAAGACATAGCCAACCAAATTCATTTACACCAAATCTTTAAACACAATCACACCAAAAACTTAACCAAACCCATAAACCATGTTGGATAATTCAACACAGGACCTCTTGCTTTGATAACTTTACAATAAAGTTACTAAAGTTTGAGCTATAAATAGCAAACTTGTTATGGCAGATACAGAAATACAAATTAGGTCACAAGATGAGACCACAATGAAGGATCAATCAAACATGCTCAGATAAAAATGGGTTATTCATCATAAACATGGCAGAGTGAAAAACATCAAACAAATTAAACAGAAAAAGAAGTGGGAAAGAATGGCTTACCTTTACGCTGCGTTTTGAATGAAGAAAGAATTGAGGGTCTCTTGAAGGATCAAGGATCTTTTTGTTGGGTCCGAGATTCGAAATTCCGGTAATTAAATAAGTGCGATTAGTGTAATCCAAACGGGAACAACTATTAGAACCCCAATAGTTTATAGAAAAATTTTCAATCTGAACCCTTTACTCCACTAATGTCATTAAGTGAAGTTGAATGTTTTGTGGTGTAAAATTTTGAGTTTTCGAACACAAAAATTAAAGGGAGATGTGCTATTACTGCTTGTATGTGACCATCATTGAAGATACGTCCAATTAATCATGTAGAGTTCATTAAGATAGAGTAACCCTCACTCAAAACATTTCTCATTAACTTCTCTCCACCAAAAACCCGTTTCACGTGTCACTCACAATCGTCAGTTCACATGAGATCTCGTCTATCTATAATGTTCCTCTGACCAACCATCCCGAACTCCCACAGGTTTGAGTGGAGAGGGGTTCGTTAGGTTTAGTATTATTATTAAGATAAAGAAGTTTTTCACCAATATTTGGTAGTATAAGAAACAGTTTACAGCAATGTAATGCAATTAGACATGAGATGATTTTATAAGTCACCACAGAGTTGTTCATCATCACTCCGTAATCTTATTATGGTTAACAATATAGAATATACACAATGACTAAGTACATTACCCAAAAACTCAAAGACAAAACAGAAACATCTTAGAGTATATAGTTGCTGATCAGTATCTTTGCATTAGCACCACCTATATTCTTGTCGGCTTGTGTTAGAAATGTCACCAGTATTAAACAAATCTTAAAAGGGGTTCAGAGATAGTTTTATAACTAAAGTGTGTTTTAGATGTTTCATTGTAGTTGTCATGAGTAAACTATCCAAATGATCCCAAACCAAAGTACTGCAATAAGTCCTCCAAACTAAATCATTTTCAATATCAAACCCGTAGACATAAACTATATAATATTACGCCGACCTTTGAATAAGTTCCCATCAACTCACATCTGAGAGAAACTGAGAAGAGTGAATGAAGGGCTTCGCAGCTGAAGTAGACTCCCCATTGCGTCCTGCTGGTAGGGGAATTGCGTTCTTATTATCATCTTTCAATTGTTTTTTTTTTCTCAATTTAAAATATAAATCTGTAGGCAAATTGGCTTGAAGTTGAGTTGAGCTAATATTTTCATTCCTTTTCGTTAACTTTATTCACTACTGCTATTTGTACTGGATTGTTTTTTCTTAAATTTCCTGACATTCCTTTGCACCAAAATGATTCTTATGTTTTCTCTCTGAATGTTAACTGGAAGGATCAAGTTTATATTGGGTTGTGTTAGGATCCAATATCTCACACCCAACCAAGGTGTGGTACTTAAACCTAGGGCTCTTTCCACCTATCAGATCGGCTTTTTGCGGTTGGACTCTCCTTTGGCTTGAGTTATAACATAGTGCTTTTCGTTGGGAGTTTGGCTATGGAAGGCTTCTATAGCTAGATTAAAGTGCAATATCCATTGAATGACTGATAGGTGAGTGAAGCCCCCAAAGGGGGAAAGGGCTGTCATCGGTTCAATTGTCATAGTAGTGAAGCCGTTGTGGATGTCCGGCTCTGAAGGGGCGGTGCAATTTAGGATCCCTATCGGGATCTCACACCCACCAAGTGTGGTACCAAACCTAGGGGCTTTTTCACCTATCAGGCCGTCCTTTTGGGTTTGGACTCTCCCGTGGACTGAGTTTCTAATAGTTTGTGTTTTCTCAAATTTATTGCTGAAAACCAAATTATGTAAAGATTTGACTTTTAATGGGTTGAAGAGTTGATACTCTATTTATGCACCGTGAACTGTGATAATGGTAAGGTTATGAACAATGCAGATGTATGTTACTGAAATGAGTCTTGTGTAAAAATTTATTGTTCTTGTACAAATTGGATGAATTTTGCACATTCTAAAGTCGATTTAATCAGGTACAGTGTAATGATTGTTGTCGCGTGGTAATGCTATCTTCTTGTTATTGGGACCATTACTTGGATATGTAATGGAGTCATATAAGTTGTCCTGTCGTTTGAACCTGAGTTCTTGTATTGATAAAAGTTTCTGTTTACACCCTTCTTGAAGATGAAATGAAAGCCCTTTGTGCAAGCCCTTGTCCGGTTTTCATCTCTCTTTAGAGGAACTCTTTGCATCGCCCGGGTAGAGGTGTTTTTTTCCCTTAATTTCCGTACTGGCTTCAGTTTTGAAAATTATTGTTACAAAAAGCAAAATCTTGTCCTGTTGTTCTTTGGTTTATAAGTTTTTGGGGTGATAGATACCATGGGTGCTGCTATTTAAATTATATCCAACTCATTTGCATTTATTTAATCTAGAGAAGGAGAAAGGGAAAAGGGAAAAGCTCTTGCTTAAGTTATTTGGTCAAAAGGAAATTGCTTATTCTGTGCTATTATATGGTGAATTCACCTTTTTTTTTTTTGGGTTTTAATACCTATATTTCTTCTGTTTTATTTTTCTTAGCTCAAGCATTGACGTCCTTTTATTCTTCTGTAGGACTCAACTTACTTTTCCTGAGAAACTCTTCTTTTGCCAAGCAAAGCTTGGTAAGCATGCGGTTCTTCGAGTAGTATTACACTCATATAGAAGCTAAACTTATCTGTATTCACATGTTCTTGTACTCTTTTTAGTATTAATACCATGTTGTGATATAAAAGCAGCACTTTCTTTTGGAAATGGATCGATCAACTCAATAGTAGTGCCTCCAACCCTTTTAGCAGCTGAAAAAGAAGAAGTCAAATCTGTGTTATCCTTGTTCTTGAAGAAACAAGGTCTGAGCAAGGTAGTTGCTGCAAAAACCGTCACTAAATCAGATCTTTTCATCGACCACCTTGTCTCAAGGCTTCATTCTGTTCATAAGTCTTGGTATCTTGTAGGTTCGATTGCAATATGTACTAGTTATTTTTGGCTATTTTTTTCTAAGTGTTTTTGTTTCTAATTCTTATTTTTCCCACTAATCAAAATTTGCTTGCCATACAGGAAGAGAGCTCACAACTCTTGAGATCAGGGACACTCTTATTCCTTATATTGATTCTCTTCTTGTAGAGCATGGAAATGTCGTAAATTTAGTGGAGAACTTTCCTAATACACCTGTCAAAGACAAGTCAGCTGCGTCAGTCTCTCAACACCTTTCCACCCCCGACTCCAAGAAGCCGAAAGGGGTCTCTAATGCACTTGTTAAAGAAAAGGCAGCTGCGTCAGTTTCTCAATCCTTTTCTGCTCCCCTTGACTCCAAGAAGCCAAAGGTGGTCTCTAATGGACCTAGTGAAAAAACGCCAGCCACATCAGTTTCTCAATCTGGTTCTGCTCTTGACTCTAAGAAGCCAAAATCTGTCTCTCGAATGATTGAGATTGGCACAGTTGGAGGTTTACGCCCTCAATTCCTCTACCTCTTAGAGCTTGGCATGGATCTTGAACAGATCAAGGTAATTACACGCAGATGTCCTGATTTTGGCTACTGCAGCTTGGAGGGGAAAATCAAACCACTAGTTGAGTTTCTTCTTGATCTTGGGGTACCTAAATCAGACATTCCTAAAATCCTCATCCAAAGGCCTTCATTGTGCTCAGTTAGTCTATCTNTTATTGTGTTGATTCATAAAAGGGTTTCACACATTCCAGATAAGTACATTCTACGGCGTTGGAGGAAAAACATAAAAAGATGTCATACGAAAATCAAGGTAAGTTATAATAGGTGGAGCACAAACGTTGAGGGACAGCGTTTTGAGAAGTTGTCTAATCTAATGCTGACAGTAGCTGATATGACATCAAACAATGAGGAAGACTATAACATGTTGATAGAATTGATTACTGGAGTGAAAAATCAGTTGGAGCAGAAGGAAAGTGAGGGAGGGTTTGGTAGTAAAGAGGGGGACAATCTTCCAAAGGAGGAGAATAGTCTAATTAATAGTCCACGGGTAGCTCGCAGCAAAAGTCGTCCTCCATGCAAAAGAAAACAATCGAAGGTTGACAAAATTGTACGTAGGGCTAAAAATAAAAAACTGCGAAAACAAAGACTTGGTATGAGTTATACATCCATTCTAACATGATATTTGTTTTTTAAAGATTATTTACGTATTTGAAGTTTATTATAATATTTACTTGATTATTAATGTGTTATGCTACTTTATAGGGAAAGAATCATCAGCAGAGCGAGNAGAGTAGTGTCTCCAACCTTGTTAGCAGCTGAAAAGGAAGAAGCCAAGGCTGTCTTAACCTTATTCTTGAAGAAACAAGGTCTGAGCAAGGCCTTTGCTGCAAGAACCATCAATAAATCAGATCTTTTTATTGACCATCTTGTCTCAAGGCTCCATTCAGTTCATAAATCTCGGTATCTAGTAGGTTCGATTGTGACATTTTACTTTTTTTGTGACAACTGTTTTGTTGGTGTCTCTTTCTCTTATCAGGCTCCCCAGCTTATCAAATTTTAATTGACATTGCAGGAAGAGAGCTCACAACTCTTGAGATTAGGGATGCCCTTATACCGTACCTTGAAACTCTCCATGAAGAATATGGGAACATTCTAGTAGAATTAGTTGAGAACTTTCCTAATGCACCCGTTAAGGAAAAGCCATTGGCACAAGTTTCTCCATCCCATCCCACTGTTGACTCCAAGAAGCTAAAAGCCGTGTCTCGAATGAGTGAGGAAGGGCCTGAGGGAGATCTCCGCCCTCAAGTTCTCTACCTCATAGAGCTTGGCATGGACCTTGAGCGGATCAGGTTAATTACACGCAAATTTCCTGCTTTTGCCTACTACAGTTTGGAGGGAAAAATCAAGCCTGTCGTTGAGTTTCTTCTTGATCTTGGGGTACCTAAATCAGATATTCCTGTAATTCTTACTAAAAGGCCTCAACTATGTGGAATTAGTCTCTCTGAAAACCTAATACCCACCATGATATTCTTAGAAGACTTGGGTGTGGACAAGAAACAGTGGGCAAAAGTTATATACAGGTTTCCCGCACTTTTAACTTATAGCAGGCAGAAGCTTAAGTCAACTGTAGATTTCCTCTATGAGATGGGCCTCTCAGCTGAGAGCATAGGTAAGATCTTAACTCGGTGCCCAAACATTATAAGTTACAGTGTTGAAGACAAGCTACGACCGACAGCCGAGTATTTCCGATCATTAGGAGTTGACATTCCCGTTCTTCTCCAGCGATGTCCTCAGATTCTTGGTCTTAGTATTGAGGCCAATCTTAAGCCTGTGACAGAATTTTTCATCGAGAGGGGATTCAGGATGGAGGAAATTGGGATCATGATTTCTAGATATGGAGCTTTGTATACTTTCAGCTTGAAAGAGAACTTGATACCCAAATGGGAGTTCTTTTTGACCATGGACTATGACAAGTCAGAGCTGGTAAAGTTCCCTCAGTATTTCGGTTACAGTTTAGAAGAGAGAATCAAACCTCGGTATGCACGCGTAAAGGAGTGTGGAGTGACAGTCTTGCTGAACCAGGTGTTATCGATATCAAGCTGCAACTTTGATAAAACTCTGAATAAGAAAATGAAGAAAATGCTTTCAGAAGAGGGTTCAACTGATAGTAAAGGCAAGGGATGATTCTTAAACCTGATATTGAGCCATACAACATCTAAGCAGAGAATGTATGGGAAATGGTTGTGGTTGCAGCGATGGGTATGCCACTTTTTTATGCTCAACTTTAACCAGGAGGAGAAATATACTTCCGCAGAATGCTGTCTGCTGGAGGAATGACAATTTATACGTATCATTGCCTGCCCAGCACTTTTTCAGCAACTCATTTCTCTTATATCTCTTATATGTTTACTCAAACTTTGCCATCTTTAGGGTGACAAGTTGTACGATACAAATATGTTGGCTAGTCCATCGACATGGTGATTTTAGCTGTTTTCTAATATCTATATGGCTTTTTCACATGAAGATGGAGATTCGCCTTGCAGTGTCCTCGACTTCACATGAAGATGGAGATTCGCCGTGCAATGCCATTGACCCTCACCATACACATGGAGTTATTCTGCAGGAGCTGATCAAATTCTTCTTGTTATTTTTAGAGTTTTTCACATGCATTAGGATGAGAAAAGGGTTTAGAGCGGAATCCTTTTTCATGAATAATAGTTGTATAAAATGACTCGAGAAACTTCCAACTTTCCATCAAAATTTGGTAATGTAGTTGTTCACCTTGTCTTTAGTTTTATTACTGCTTTTATGTATTTGATCATGATGGACACAAAAAATTCCAGCTATAAGCTTGTGAAGTTAATTCATTTTCCATATTTACTTTCTCAAAATGTACTCAAAGTGGATTAAATAACGAACAGATCATAAATTCACTGAACAAAATATGCATTTAAAATGGTCATTTTCCATTATTAAACATAAGAACATTGATTTTGTCGATGCCAATATCAGAGATGGGCTCAATTGGCTGCTCATCTCCCTCCGCTAAAGAAACAGGATTTGAAGGTTCTCTGCTGAATTCATCTGCAGATCAATAGAGCATAAGATNTTCTTTAATCTAAAAAACATTGTATACGGCGGTAAATCATCAGTACTTGTCTCCACAACTTCCAAACTACTAAAAAACTCGTAAATCAAATGCTTATATCCGTCATATGTAATACTCGCCAACTACTCCCATTTCAAATTACGAATCCAACCATTAATCTCATCACCTAAACCCAAACTACTTATAAATCCTATATCCAAACTTTTTCCAAGACAAATATCTCTTTTCGCCATCTCTTTGTATTGCTTTTTATGTTGCCTGTCTTGAAATTGGACTCCAGATGACGAAGAGCCTGCATCCGGAGTGCTTGTGTTTTTTGCTCTTACCATTTTCTGCTTCCTTCTAAAACCCTGCAAAAAACATATCCATAAGTACTATCACAAACACATACAGCATAACCATGTATCCCACTTTTAACAGTATACTATCAAATTTAATCCACATTCTTGGGATGAGTCATATTAAGAGCTGTTTGATTTCTGTATGTGTTTGAATGGGATTTCTTTGGTTATGTGTTATATGATGCATTTTAAATTTAATATCCCAGCCACCTTTACCTGCATAATGTGGGCAAAAATTAAGTCCAGAACAATGAATTGGAGGCTGGAATTACATGGTTCTGGACTGCATAATTTGGGCAAAAATACAGTCCAGAACCATGTAATTCCAGCCTCCAATTCATGGTTCTGGACTGCATTTTTGCCCAAATTATGCAGGTAAAGGTGGCTAGGATTTTATATTTAAAATCCCAGCCACCTTTACCTGCATCAATTGGGCAAAAATGCAGTCCAGAACCATGAATTGGAGGCCCCTTGGCAAAAATCGTCCACCTGTTGTAGGCTGAAATTAATGGTTCTGGACTGCATAATTTGGGCAAAAATGCAGTCCAAACCATGTAATTCCAGCCTCCAATTCATGGTTCTGGACTGCATTTTTGCCCAATTGTGCAGGTAGGTGGCTGGGATTTTAGCCACCTTACCTACATAATTTGGGCAAAAATGCATCCAGAACCATGAATTGGCTGGAATTACATGGTTCTGGACTGCATTTTTGCCCAATTATGTAGTCCAAACCATGTAATTCCAGCCTCCAATTCATGCTTTTATTCAACAAAAATGCAACCCATAAATGCATATAAAACCAGCCACCAGTACATGTAAATTTCGGTCGACAAAAGTCATAAACTGATGGAACTCGGCACCTTCACATATCCTACCACCTAAACACACACACAACTCAAATGCGACAATACAATATAACCAACACACATTCAGCAAGATTCCAACACCAAATCCAACCACAACTCAGAATATGAAAATGCTATATTGATAATGGTAAGATTAAGGAACAAGGTTGCTGAAATGAAACAATACACAAAAACACCACTTCATTCAAATCAGTTCAAATCAACTCCAACTCAACTTATTAAACCTGCAGCTCAACTCAATCCACTTCAAATTTGAACATTAAACTTCAGCAAAATGCTTTATAATCCTTATTTCCAACTTACTCAATCAGTTAGGAACAACAGCAAACAAAAAAATAATATAAATAAACCGATGTTTGCATTACATGTCTACTGACAAAAACATATGTTTAAGCCTGCATTGGTAGTCAAGCTCCTAACTTGATGTTTATAACACTTGACAGTATTTTGTAGGCTTAATTATTGTATCATGCATAATTTGAAAAAAAAATTGAAAAAAGAAAGTGTAAGCCACACAACCAACAAACGGCCTTCACAGAGGCAGATCACACAACCAACAAATGTAAGCATTTTCCAAGCCAAAACACTCAAAACAACACTTCTATTTGTCATCACACACCCAATCCCACCAATGGACTGGATTTCTCTTTATCAATCACTCCATTCACACAATGTAATCCAACTTCTTCACCAACAAAAAAAAATAAAAAAAATTGAGAAACAGAAGTATCATTACCGCGGCTGATTTGTTTTTTTGAGATGAAAAAGACCATGAACGAGCGCGCAGATGGGATGAAGAACCAGATGAACCAGAGCTCAGATGGAAGAAGAAGAAGAAGACCGCCGCCCCTTTTTTTTTCAAACGATTTCCCTAAAAGTGCAAAATAAACCTAAAACGTTTTAATTCTAATTTTTTATTTAAAACTTTTTAATTTCTTTTTTTATTTTAATTAGAGGTGGGACGGTCGTCCCATTCCTTAGGGACTGGCGTCCCAAGTATGACGGCCGTCCATACTTAAGGGACCCCGTCCCTAAGGAGTGGACGGGCGTCCCTTAATTATGACGGCCGTCCATATATAAGGGACGCCCGTCCCTAAGGAATGGACGACCGTCCAAATTTTTTTTTAAAATTTTTAAACTAAATTATGGACGGGCGTCCATTCATACGGACCCCGTCCACACATTAGGGACGCCCTCCACAATTTTGGGACGGCATCCCAGATTTTTTTTTTATTTTTTATATTTTAAAACCCTCCAAATTAAAGGACGGGCATCCCTTAACATATGAACGCCCGTCCAATGTTTATGGACGGCCGTTCATGACCTGTGAACGACCGTCCCTAATTTTTTTTAATATTTTTTATTTTTATTTAGCAATGGACGGGCGTCCTCTAAATCAGGACGCCCGTCCATAGTAAATGGACCCCGTCCATATAATATGGACGGGGGTCCATATGAGTGAACGGCCGTCCATATGTTATGGACGGCCGTTCATTAGATCAAATTCAATAACGCCAAAACACGTGGGATGATTTGGATGGTTGAGTCAGCACACACGTCAGCCGGTACAAAATTTCGGTGTAAAAACACCGGTGTCTGTAGCATTGCTGATTCCGCAAGACCGAATTTATTTATTTATTAAAATACAAAAAAGAATATTATCAAAGTATTTGGAATAGATGCTGATACTCTAAATTCGGGAAGACAGAATTTATTTATTAAAATACAAAAAAGAATATTATCAAACGAAAATTGCAGTGCCCAGGGACAACCATTGTGAGAGCTGAGAATGAGGAGTCCAAGTGCAAAACGAGTGTCTCAGTCTCTGTCTGCTCACAACATCAAAGCTCTCTTCAATTCAGTCGAGGCCTTTCTCTTCGATTGTGATGGTATCTATATTAGCCTCTTCAATCTTTTCTTTCTCTGTTATCTATAGATATAACTTTTTAAGTGTGTTATCTGAGTTTCATTACCCAATCAGGTGTAATTTGGAAGGGCGATAAGCTCATTGATGGAGTTCCACAAACATTGGACATGCTTCGATCCAAGGTTTCTTATTTCTTCTTTTCTTTTTTCTTTTTTAATTTATTTTTTTCTTCCAAAAACTTTTTAGTTTCGATTTATGTTATTGTCCTATTTAAGGGAAAGAAGCTGATTTTTGTGACCAATAATTCCTCCAAATCAAGAAGACAATATGCTAACAAGTTCCATTCTGTTGGACTCTCAGTTGCCGAGGTTTATTTCTGTACACATTATTAAAAGATTCATATTTGTTTAAAATAAGCTTTATTTGAACCTCTCTTTATATTGTGTAATTGTTTTGTAGGACGAAATATTTTCCTCATCTTTCGCAGCTGCCATGTACTTGAAAGTGAATAACTTTCCGCCAGAAAAGAAGGTCTCATCTTTTGATTATTTTGTACAAATTCGGATGCATGTCAGCTGTTAATTATGTTTGTGCGGCGTTTGCTTCACAAGTTATTTTACTGTCTCCACTTGGCGTGAATCTTCCCCTAAAACAGACTGTTAAGAGTAGCAAATGCAACAATTTGTTTTGATGATTAAATTAAATTAAATTTTAGCTTGTATGGTTGCAGATGATAAAGTAGTCTAGTATTTTCTGGTTACAAGTGAGCCCATGTTTTTTAAAAGCTGTTTTTAAGATGTAAAATTTTAACATTTTGGATATGTTGTATATTGCTTTCATTAAAGTTCCAAAGCATGATGCCACTGCTAATTGTTAAACATGAATTTATTGATCTATAAATTGGAATTCACATTAATGTTAAAATTTTCTTTATGCTGTAGAGATTAGTGATTTCTCAGTGTAGTTGCTAATGCTTTTTCCCTATTGCCATGCCAGGTTTATGTAATTGGTGGTGAAGGCATATTAGAAGAGTTACAACTTGCTGGATATACAGGTCTTGGGGGCCCTGTTAGTAACTCCCTCCTATAAATACCATTGCGTTTCTCCCTTTCTCATTTAAAGTTTCATTCAACTTAACCAATTAGAGAGACAATGACCTGGACTGATTTCATTTAGTTGTTTTTCTGCTTTTTGAGTTGATGAAGCCAAAATATTAGAAATTTCATGGTTCCTCAGATATGCATATATCAAGTTAGCACATAATTTGATGATTTCTATTTTACTTTTCTATGATCTCTTAATCATAATATTCTCAGTTTAACAATCGAGTGCTATTTATTATTTAAACCCTTGAGTCGCCCTTACTTAAGCTCTTACTTCAGGCGACTTGACAGGAACTAGTAGTTTTTCAAACTCAGTTAATTTTGGAAAATGAAGCTTGCCTCTAGCTGACGTGTATAGTGATCTTCTTAAAGCTTTCTCCGCAGTAACTTCACATCAGGAGCTGTATGCATGATTTCATTGATATTTTATTTTTCACTTTTTTATTTCAAACCATGATTGATTTTTCAAATTGTTGCATTCAACAGCATTCACTCCTTTAGTAATGCTTTAGCTGCATAGAAATGAAAATTTAGCTTTTTGATTTTTGTGGTGAAAATGATATTCTAACTACACAAAATAGTAAGCTTCCTTTGTTTAAAGTATATTTATCTTCCTATGCTTTTTGTTCAACTATATTTGAGAGTGCAAGTGTTCTATTCTCTTCTTGGATTTTAGAAGCCTCAGCTAGCTCTAGCTTTAGTTGGTTGTTCTATTTACTTGGTTATTTCGGGGGGTTGTTTTGGTTGGTGGTGTTTTTTTTTTTTTTTTCTCCCTCAACTCACATTGTTGGAGCTTTGCCTTATGCATCACATCATATTGCAGGAAGATGGAGAAAAAAGGGTACAATTGAAATCGAATTACCTCTTTCAACATGATAACAGTGTAATGTAACATATTGCCTACCGAGATTTTTTTTTTTTTCTCTTTTATCTTCTTTATTTATCTCATTAAAATTTATATTACTTGTGTTCCCAGGTTGGAGCAGTTGTGGTTGGATTAGACCCAAACATTAACTATTACAAGCTTCAGTAAGAGAATCTTAACTATTACTTCTACAGTTTCGATTAGTTGCAACTAAAGAAGAAAGCATTTTTAATTATATTTATTTATGAACGAGATTTATGTACATAATTAGGAGAAATTGTGCGTCTATTTTAAGAATCTAAATAAGTTTCCAATTTAAGAGATCTAAATCCTAGAATCAATTAATTGCAAAAGATAAAGAATTACAATAATTTACAGTACACAATAAGGAAAGCCAACTAATTTAGTTGGGAAAGTAAATCCTAGAATCATTGATGATTAATTGGGTAATAATGTCTTCAACACTACTCAAACTAGATCAAAAATATTTTCCATATCCGGCTTACCAACAATAGATTGAAACTTTGAACTTGATAGCCTTTTAGTTAATAGGTCAGTGAGTTGATTATTGGCTTCAATATATGGTATGCAAATTTCTTCATTTTCGAACTTCTCTTTGATGAGGTGTCTGTCAATCTGCATATGTTTGGGTTGATCATGATGGACTAGATTGTGGACTACTTTGATAGTAGACTTCTTGTTACAATATAACATCACGGGTCCTTGGCATTTTATTCCCAAGTCAAAAAGAATAATTTTCAATATAGAAGTTCACATATACCTTGGGCCGTTGCTCCACATTTTGCTTCAACACCAAAGCTTGCTACCATATTTTGTCTTTTACTTCACCAAGTAACAAGATTTCCTCCCAAAAATTTGCAATAACCACTTGTGGATCTTCAATTAGCCAGAGCATTAGCTTAAGTGACATCAATATAGGCTTCTTATTGTAGATCATTTGTCTCGAACAAAGTCCTTTTCATGTTGTATCTTTCAAATATTTGAGGAATCTATGAACCGCATCCATGCCTAGTGTGACAAAATATATTAGTTTACGCACTAACCGTTAATATCTTCCTTGATCAATTATCTCATTGTTGTCTTTCTCTCTGTGGAGAAATATTTTCTTGTGTATTCATAATGAAATGTACAATGAATTTATAGCAAAAACAAAAAACTAATCTAGGAAGTAAATTGTTACATTCCTATTATAATTCTATTTCCTATTCCTATTATAATTCTATTTCCTATATTACAAAGAGAATAATTCTATTCCCTATATTACAAAGAGAATAATTGTATTTCATATTTACATTTCAACACTCTCCAAGCTTATGGTTTGAACTATTGGAATATTGAAGGGTACATTCCAACATTCCAGTTTCTTGGAGAAGATCAAGAGTGTATTTGTGTTGAGACATGAAGATTTCTTTCCTAGGATTTGGAACTTCAATTCCTAGAAACTATTTAAGTACCAAATTCTTTTATTTCAAATGATGTCTTGAGGTTTTTCTTCAACTGGTCAGTCTCAGACATCATTTCTTGTAAGTCCACCTAAACAATCAATCAAGATAACAACTTTTTTGGGGTGATCCTCTTCTTATGAAATGGATCTCCTTGGTATCCGATGAGTTTCTAAACTGCATAAGTGATTGTTTCAATTGATATATGGATTTTTGCGTTTACGAACACTTTTGTTTAAAGTTTTCGTCAATCCTATTTGAATGTCTATGTACATCGCTCTCTAAATCTCCATGTAAAAATACCTTTTAACATTAATTGCTACCAAGACCAATTCAGGTTGGTTGCTTGGTTGCAAGAGTAATATAACTCGAACATTGTTCATTTTGTACATGAGCAAATGTTTTTTGGCAGTTAATATCGTTTGAGTAAAACCTTTGGCTAGTAATCGAAGCTTATATTTTCAAGGAAACCATCTACTTTGTGTTTTACAAAATAAATCTATTTTTGCCTCATTGGTTTTTTTTTTTTTTTTTTTTTTGCTTTTGGGAAGATCAATTATCTCCCAATTCTGTTTTTATTTTCAATTCTTATTCCCTCAATCATAGCAAAATCAGAATCTAAATAAGTTTCTTGAATGATAACTGATGCGTACATAAAGAAGAAAGATGGTTCAACGATTGAAGAATCTAAATAAGTTTCAGTTTATGAAATTTAAATAGTCAACTTTACAATAATTTAAACAATACACAATAACTAAAGCCAACTGAGTTAATTATGAAAGTAAATCCTAGAATCATGACTGATTAATTGGGCAATAATATATTCAACAGCAACATTTGTAGTTCTAATCATGTGCCTCAGAAAGTTCTTGCTAAGACCCTTGAATATTTCCTTGTGAGTGTGAACTGAAATTGAAGGATATAAACCTTTTGTCTTTAGATATTTTGTTGGATAATTACAAGCATATTCTCAAGTGACATTCTTGTTTTTAATACCCGGCCTGTGTCAAAATTTCAACAATATAAACTTCTCCTCATCAATTTCTAGTCAGGTTTGTGGGATTTTTTTTTTTTTTTTTTTTTTTTTTTTTTTTTTTTTTTTAATGTTCATGCTATGTTTCAAATACATAAAAAGGTTACATGGGTGTTGGGCTAAGTTGTAGTTTAGAATCTTGCTTCGCATGAAAATAGGAAATTCACAGAAATTTTGCTTGAAACTTGATAAGACCCCAGCTCATTAAACTCAAATTTACAAAAGGAATAATAAGGGCAAATGGCATGGTGTGCAAGTGGGAGTTGGTTATCCACATGGCAATTGCAATGGAATTGGTGTGATGTTTGTGAGTATAAATTAAGGGATAGGAATTGTAAAGGGTAGAGAATATTTTAGTGAGATATTGGGAGGGAGGCCCCTAGCTCCTCAAATTGCTAGGTTATCTTTACATTCAGTTTTGTTTTCTTAATTGTTCTTCATTATCGTTGTTATCCATTTCTTTATCAATCAATATAGAGGTGTATTCATATTAGTGTTTTCTCAATTGTCTCTGATCTGTGTTGAAATATTGTTCTGTTTGCTATACTCTGTTTGGGTTGTTTTGAGTATTGAGAATCCAGGTTCCCATCAAAACTATTATATTGATTGCAAAATTATACTTGAGGTTTTCTTTTTGCTACCTGTTTGCTGCTTTGGGATGATCAGGATTTTGACTGCCAGGTATGGAACCCTTTGCATTCGTGAGAATCCTGGGTGCCTTTTTATTGCTACAAATCGTGATGCAGTGGGACATATGACTGATTTACAAGAGTGGCCTGGTAAGAAAGTTATAGCTCATATGTAAAATATACACTTGACAATTTTGCTTCATTATAGTATTTGTTGTGGATTACAGGTGCGGGATGTATGGTTGCTGCCATGTGTGGGTCAACTGAAAGAGAGCCTATTGTAGTTGGAAAACCTTCAACTTTTATTATGGAGTTTCTATTAAAGAAGTAAGTTAGATGAACCACTATTTGTGTTAGCTTATCATTGTACATAAAAAAAACAATGTAGATGTTATTTGAAAATAATTTTTGTACTTACACATTCTGATTTGCAGATTTCAGATTGATACCTCCAGAATGTGTATGGTGGGTGATAGATTAGACACTGATATTTTATTTGGACAGAATGCCGGGTGCAGAACTCTCCTTGTTCTTTCAGGTACTCAAGACAGCCACTTAAAATTAATTGATTCAGTTAGTTCCTCATTTATCTTCATTTTATCCTGATACCTTTTAAACTTGTAGGTGTGACAACTCAGTCTACTCTGGAAAACCCTGCAAACAACATCCAACCAGATTATTATACAAGTCAGGTTTCTGACATTCTTGAATTACTGGGGCATTAACCTGATTACTGATTAGGGATTACTGCTCAATTATTGTCTGTTTGTCTCATGTTCTAATATAAAGGATTAGAAAGCATTCAAGAAAAGTCAGCAGAGAATAAACTAGAGGAAGTATAAAAAAATAATAATCAAGCGTGATACGACTGTGTATCCTTGACTTATGAAATAAATGTTAAATTCATTTGTGATGAGGATATCAACAATGTCTTTCGTCATACTCTGTGGTCTAGCAATATCATTAGCATTAATATATGGATGAATCATATGATTACAAGGTGTAGCAACATCCCTCTTGGGGATAGAGGAGGTTCAAGGGAAGTTGATTTAATTTTCATACCCACTAACCAACAAAGAACAGCTCAAGTAACATACTAGATCCTCTTTTTTGCTTTCCCTTACCAGAATGTAAGATGCCCAAGTAAAGGTTTCTGTTCATTCTCTTTCTGCAACAATAAAATGCCAATTTTTGTCATAAATATGATTAATTTCTCATTCAGATAACATTAATATGCGATGGCTTAAACTTTGGGGATGTTTGTCTAAGCTTACAAGCTGGTCAAACTAGCTTATAAGTTCTAAAATTAAGCTGACCTGTTTGTTTATATCTTTTTTGAGCTTATAAGCCAAAAAAAATAAGTTGGGGGAGGTATTTTTTTTTTTTTTTTGTTTATAAGTATTCTGCTTATAAGTTAGTTTGACCAAGTATATTACCACATTATCCTTGTTTAATTCTAAAATTTCATAATATACCCTTATTTAATGTAGTATCTTTTTTAGTCATTTTATAATAAAATGTACTTATAAGTCACATTTTACCAAACACGTTAACTATTTATCAGTCACTTATAAATACTTTAACCAAACATGTAATTGCTTAAAATTTTAAATACTTTTAAGCTAAAATTAGTTTATAAACACTTGTTGTTTATAAGCTAATTTTCATAAGCTTAGACAAATAGCCTTTTGAGCAACTCATCTTATTTCAGGATGACAATTACAATTTGTTGGGAAAATATTAAAGAAAAACCGCTTTCCGCTTTCACTTTTTAGCTTCAATCCAAACTTTTTGCCTTTTAGCCAAGAAAAAGACACTTAGCCCCCCTCGGGTTTCCAAAATTTCAGTTTATGTCCAAAGGTTTGAGGTATTACACAAACACCTCTATTATAATCCATCTTCATCGTTGAAAGATTAAAATACCCGTGATCTGAGAAAAATCAATTTAAAGAGGCAAATATTAAAATATCTCTGGTTTGAGAAAGTAAAAAGTCTTAAATAACCTTAATATTCATGAAACCCCAAAAAAAAAAAAAAAAAAAATTACTAACTAAAAATTGCCCAACAACAATATTTTATTCACGCCACTTTTTTTTTTCATAAACCAATAAATAATTAAACAATGATTATATTAAATCTTCAAATATATCATTTATAGTTTTCTTCGTGTTGTTATATCAATGTCATCTATAAAATTACTTGAAATTTTGCATTTACCTATGACACTGCTAAATATGTAAAATATAATTTTGCAGATGACATTATTATAATTAATTTGAAGAGAATTATATTTTATATATTTGAAGATCTATTTTATTTTTTATTTTTTTTTGGTTTTATAAAAATTAGGGTTATTTCAGACTTCTCTTACCTAGTTACATGATAATAAAAGGCAGTTCAGTTAACATCAATATATTGTTGTCCATTTTTAATAAATATTAATTAAATATTTTTAACATTTAAACTCTTTTTCAAACTAGGGGTATTTTAGTCTTTTTATCAGTCGACATTGGTTTTGAGTTAGATCTAACGGTGAAAATTGACGGTAAGGGTGGTGTTTGTATAATACCCTCCACCTTTGGATATAACTTAATTTCGAAAATCCGAAGGATGTTTTGGCAATGGTGACAAAGACTATTATATGAGAGAGAGAATATATCATATCCTTTTGAGGTTTAAAGAGTTATTAATAAAATCCCTAAGATATGAGAAATCATTAATAACCTCCATTTAGATTTGGATTACCTCTCTTTTAAGTTTTAACCATGAATTTAACGGTCAAAATTAACATGATAATAGGTGATAAGTGATGATTTAATAAAATGTATTGGGCTGGGGACGTACTGATATTTTCGTAGACTTACCATAATTAGATTTGATAATATAAAAAGAAAAAAAAAAAAAAAAGTCAAGAACCATAAGTGATAAAATAAAAAGTCAATAAGTCAAACGTGGAACGCGGTTCAGAAAAGTTGTCTTGCTTTCTAGTATCAAATTCCCTCCTGTCTCTCTCTCTCTCTCATTCGTTCGTTTAATTTGGATTTTACTTTTATCATGGCGTTCAAACCATCCAATTATTTATGCCATGATCTCTCTGGATTCACATTTCTTCATCTCTCGTTTTTTTCCTGCTCGTTTTCAAATTTCTTTCTGTCACCTCCCCTTACTCTATTGAAAGTTTAAACACACATTTATCCATAAATTCCATTTTCATTTTCTTGGTAGATCTGGGATCTTGTTATTCTTTGGTAGATATATTGAGATTTTTCATAGCTATTGTTTTATTGTAATCATACAAAATCCTTTTATAATCATATCTGTTATGTCGTAATTATGTAAGACATTCAAATAAAAGAAGAGTTTTATTGATCATTTTGTTATTTTTCGCTTGAACGCAAGTAGGTTTCTAGTGAAATTCAAAAAATGAAACTTTTGGTGAGAGTAAAAGAAGCAAGAAACATACCCGCCATGGATCTTAATGGGTTTAGTGATCCTTATGTGAGATTACAGTTGGGAAAGCAAAGGTTTAGAACAAAAGTGGTGAAGAAGAGCTTAAACCCAAATTGGGAAGAGGAGTTCCGTTTCAAAGTTGAAGATTTAAATGAAGAACTTGTAATTAATGTTTTGGATGAAGATAAGTACTTCAACGATGATTTTGTTGGGTTTCTCAAGGTGCCAGTTTCGCGGGTTTTTGATGCGGTTGATAAGTCTCTTGGCACTGCTTGGTACCCTCTTCAACCCAAGAATAAGAAGGCCAAGAACAAGGACTGTGGTGAGTTCCATTTATTGCTTATTGGGTAATTAAACACTTAAGTTTTCTTTGTAGTTGGTCGGTTCTTTTTTTGATTATGCAGTTGGCATTTTGTGGTGTGTATGAAGTTATCATGGATTCATTTTTCTTTGTGTTTTGGAATTTAAACAGGGTGGCAGTGATATTTCTTGGCACCCTATCCAAAGGTTTTCCTAGGATGAGGTGCCCTTGCTTTGATATTAATAATTCAAAATAGCTTAGATAATATCCATTTTGGTTATTGTTCCAAATTGAGAATCGCCTGTATAGTTGGAGTCAAGAATTCAACTTGCATCTCTTATTAATTATTATAACCAGTATGGTTCAAGAAGTATATACTATACTGATTACTAATTTTTTGTCTTCCTTGGCAGGCGAAATTCTTTTGAGTATATCCTTTTCGCATAGCAGTTCAGGTATGGACTTGAATGGTATAACTGATTATGGATCACATGTGAGGAAACATCCAGACATACAAATTGAATCTCCTTCTAGATCTTTCAATGGCCCATCAAGTGCACCCTCTCCATCGAGAGTAGAAGATATCACATATAGTAAGGAAGAGAAATCCTGTGCACAGAAAACTTTAGCTGGTCGAATTGCTCAAATGTTCAATAAGAATCCAGATTCAGCGTCAAGTAGAGGTGTTGACTTGTTGGAGGTACCTGAAACTGCCAAACCTGAGGTTTTAGATGACAAGTGTGAGGATCAGTCCTTTTCTGTTTCATTTGAAGAAGCAATGAAAACAATGGAGTCCAGAGATCAAGGTTCTGAAGTTCCTAGCAATTTACCAGGGGGACTCCTTGTAGACCAAATTTATGTAATTGCACCCCAAGATCTAAATAGTCTACTTTTTTCGCCTGACTCAAGCTTTGTCAGAGCAGTGGCAGACGTACAGGGGAATACAGAACTGCAACTGGGGCCTTGGAAATTTGAGAATGGTAGCGAGAGCTTGAAAAGAGTTGTAACTTATATTAAGGCCGCAAGTAAATTAATTAAGGCCACAAAAGGCATTGAGGAGCAAAAATACCTAAAAGCTGATGGGAAAGTTTTTGCTGTTTTAGCAAGTGTGAACACTCCAGATCTTATGTATGGGAGCACCTTTAGAATTGAATTGCTTTACTGCATCACACCTGGGCCAGAGTTGTCATCAGGAGAGCAGTCTTCACATTTGGTGATATCCTGGCGCGCAAATTTCGTGCAGAACACCATGATGAAAAGTATGATAGAAAATGGAGCCCGAAGTGGTCTAAAGGAAAGTTATGAGCAGTATGCAACTTTCTTATCTCAGACTGTTAAGCCAGTTGATTCAAAGGATATGGGGTTAAATAAGGAACAGATTTTGGCTTCATTACAAACAGAGTCCCAGTCAGACTGGAAGCTAGCTGTGCACTATTTTGCAAACTTTACTGTAGTTTCCTCGATTTTTATGGGATTTTACGTGCTTATCCACATCTGGCTTGCCACAGGCAGCACAATTCAGGGGCTTGAGTTTGTTGGGCTTGATTTACCAGATTCTATTGGTGAATTGATTGTATGTGGTGTACTGGTTCTTCAAGGTGAAAGAGTGCTAAAGTTGTTTTCACGCTTCATGCAGGCGAGAAACCAAAAGAGTAATGTTCTTATCTTATAATTGCTCCTTTCATTCAACTAGCACAACCCTTTCAAGTGAACCACTGTACTCTTAACTTTAGATGAGAGCTAGTTGGATGACCTTGAAAACTATTATGAAACATGCACTCTATGATGTTAGTTGAGTCAACTAGTTGTGATAGCTATTTCATAATCCCAACTTTTAACAAATAGCTAATGCTGTCCTGTCAATCAATTATTTTGATGCTTATGCTTCTTTTGGCGAAAATGTTGTCTTTTGAAATAGTGGGGGATGGCATTATTTGCATTTGCTGCTGCTTTTACACTTCCATAACTTCTTTTGTCATAAGCCTGCATTTGTCAATTTCATTCTTTCTTTTGCTATAGAATCTGATATCCATTGTGTATAATAGGCACTGATCACGGAGTCAAAGCACAAGGTGACGGGTGGTTGTTGACTGTTGCCTTGATTAAGGGAAATAATTTAGCAGCTGTCGATTCAAGTGGGTTCTGTGATCCATATGTGGTGTTCACTTGTAATGGGAAATGTAGAACCAGCTCCATTAAGTTTCAGCAATGTGATCCCCTCTGGAATGGTGAATCTTATACCATTTTATATCAGTAAAAAACATGTTTCCCAATTTGTGATTGTTTCATGTTTTAAAATCAAATTCTATTTGACTGTGTCTTTATATGATCTGAATTTTCGTTTCATCTCTTATAATGAAACTCTGTTTCTCCTGCAGAAATTTTTGAATTTGATGCAATGGATGAACCTCCTTCGGTGCTAGATGTGGAAGTTTATGATTTTGATGGACCTTTCAGTGAAGCTACATCTCTAGGACATGCTGAAATCAATTTTGTAAAATCTGATATATCGGATCTAGCTGAGGTGTGGGTACCTCTTCAAGGAAAGCTGGCACAGGCTTGTCAGTCTAAGTTGCAGTTGAGAATTTTCCTGAACAATACCAAGGGTAGCAATGTTGTTAAAGAATATTTGAGTAAGATGGAGAAAGAGGTGGGGAAGAAGGTAATTCTAGCTGTTTTGCTGTGGGTTTTTGATTTGTCAATCTGCTATATACATTATAGTTTTCTTCCCTCATATTTATGTTTGCTAAATTTTTATAATGGAAACACTTGTAGATAAATCTGAGATCTCCTCAAACAAATTCAGCTTTTCAGAAACTCTTTGGGCTTCCGCCAGAGGAATTTCTTATCAATGATTTCACGTGTCACTTGAAGCGAAAAATGCTCCTACAGGTGCAGTGGGCATGGTTATAGGATGTTGAAGTTTTTAGGACTTTACGAACTTTTAGTATTATCTTATTCCTTTTAGAATGCACTTTGAGAAAATTATGTATTTTATGTTATACTTTTGATGAGTTTAAATGATGCATGTTTTTTCAGTTCTTATCTTTGAACTTGCTGTTTTCTATGTGTAGGGTCGCCTATTTCTGTCTGCAAGAATAATTGGGTTCCATGCAAATTTATTTGGGCGCAAGACAAAATTCTTCTTCCTTTGGGAGGACATAGAAGACATTCAAATTTTACCGCCTTCTTTGTCATCTATGGGCAGTCCAGTTATTGTTATGACACTCCGGCAAGGCAAAGGTATGGATGCCAGGCATGGTGCAAAGACACAAGACGAAGAAGGCAGGCTGAAGTTCCACTTCCAGTCTTTTGTATCTTACAATGTGGCAAATCGGTAAGTGACAACTCTACAATTTTACCATTTCCAATTTATTTTCTTTCTAAAACAATACCAGAATCTTTAAATATGAAAAAAAAAAAAAAAAAAATTCTCTGGGAAAATTTACTGGCTTTTGGTATGGATTTACAATTTTATTGCTATTTACCTTATCAGACATTCTGGATATGTTCGTTTATGAGCATTTTATTGCCTATCACAATTCTAGATCTAGGCCCTGTTTGATTTTGCAGCCACTCAAGAAAAACTTATGCAATTTTGATGGGTATATTAATTAGGTGACAACTCAGAAGTATCTGTGCAGTTCATTCATTTTTTCTCTGGTGAAGGGGCAGCTTCCACCAAATAACTAGGGTTTAGGTTATACACTGTAAACATTACAATTCTCTTGCTTAATTTATTTTTTATCATTGACTGTTATTAAATATTTACTGAAATTTTAAGTCACCTGGAAATATGAAAATTGGCTGTGTTGCTGAATATTGGCTGTGTTACTGAATAAATCTTACATGGAAAGAGTTGTGCGACTAGGTACACAAATGAAGAAAAAATATTCTTTTGTCAGATGTCATATAGGATAAATGAAAACTAATATTGGTAAAATATGCTCTATGACTTAAACATTTTATGCATGTCAAATAGGACAATCATGGCTCTGTGGAAGGCTAGATCGTTGACTTTTGAACAGAAAGTGCAAATAATTGAAGAAGAATCAGAAGAAGCCAAAAGCCTCCAAACTGAAGAGAGTGGGACCTTCTTGGGGGTTGAGGATGTAACTATGTCTGAGGTTTATTCTGCAGTTCTTCCTTTCCCTGTAATCAATCTCTCTGTCTTTCTCTTTAGCTGATGCTCTCTTTTTCTGTGTGCTTGATTTGTGGAGGCGCATGTACGTGCATGCATCTATGCATGTTAAGAGTGTTAATCTCATGCGTATACTCATTTTCATTGTTTTTTGTGGTTGTTCTCACATATTTTTTTTAAAGTGTTTGCTCGTATCTGACAATGGAAACTGTCTTCTTGATTATTTTAGAATAGTTTCTTCATGGAGCTATTTGGTGGGGGGGAATTGGAGCGTATTGTTATGGAGAAAGCTGGTTGTCTTAACTACTCTTGCAGTCCATGGGAATCAGAGAAGCCTGATGTATATGAGAGGCAAATTTATTATAGATTCGATAAGAGTATATCACGTTATAGAGGAGAGGTGACAAGTACTCAGCAGAGATCTCCCTTGTCCAATGGGAATGGTTGGGTTGTTGAAGAGGTTATGACTCTTCATGGAGTTCCACTTGGTGACTATTTTAATGTATGAGTAACACTTCAAATTGTTTTTTTCTGTGCGACTTTTGAGCTTATGTTATTCATTTGTGTAACTCTAGTAATTTTCTTTTCCTCCACTGTTTTCAAATTATTTTTTTGTCCATATGTATCATAATTGACTGTCTTACTAATGTGCAGCTTCATCTTAGATACCAAGTTGAGGATTCACCCTCAAGACCAAAAGGATGCCTCATACAGGTATTCATTGGAATTGCATGGCTGAAAAGTACTAGGCATTTGAAAAGGATTACAAAGAATATTGTCTCACATCTGGACGAGCGCCTGAAGGTGATTGTCAGTGTGGTTGAGAAGGAATTTACAACTAGATAGTGGATAGATTGTGCAATGGCATTAGTCGGCAAATACAATTACTATGGACGTTATTGGAGAGAACTGATAGTTCTGTAGCGACCGCTATTCATATCACTGCTATTGTCTGTCCATTTTTTTTTTTTTTTTAGTGACACGCTTAGTGGGGGCAATCATCCAGATATGCAAATCCAAATCTAGCAGTCATTTGCATCGATTAACACAGATGCTGTTGAATCTTCAGTTTTAGATCTAGCAGTGCTTTCATTATTTCCAGATCGTAACCCTTTGTACAAATGGGTAACAGTCTTGATAGTTACTAGGATGGCTGGAAACTTTATTTTTTCAAGTAGTCTGACATAAATGATCAATTTGTTACTCTTATGTACATTACTTGGTAAAGATTATAGTGAAAGAATTTCATTATTTGTGCAACTGTGTGAAGTGTGATTCCAAAAAGACATTTAGTTGTATCTGAACAAGGTATTATGTACAAATCTGCAATTTTGACATTCGTAAGTTGTGGAGCTCTGAATTTTTATAAATTTCTCTCGATCATTAAAAACAAAAAAGAAGGAAAGATGAGTTGCATTTGTTGACACTAGTAAATAGCGATTCCCACTATTGGGAGACAAATTCCCATCCTTTGGGTTTTGCGTTTTCGTGAAGTCGTGTCATACTCATATCACACACTCTGTCCGAATTTCGAAAGCCAACCTTGATACAAATTGTAATTGTTCAAATCTAATTGAGTGCATTGTCTATATTACTGTCACAGATTTGCTTTTGGGCTTGATGAGATCATTCTAAATCCAAAAGACATCTACTAGTTAAAAGAATAAAGACTAATAAACTAACTAACGTTCTCATTTGCTAAATTTGCCATAACCTAATTCCATTCTCTCTTATTTGCATTTGTAGTGGTAAAGTTTCATTAGTTTTGTAGAACATTAGATTATAGACGAGTTGGTATACATTATTAATAATGCACTGTTGCTATCATTATGTAGTTATAAATGGTGATGTGTAAGAGTATAACGTGAGAGCGAAGTGAGGATCTTCTGGTATTGGCGCATGCGAAATAGCTAAGCAAGGTTGAGAGATGTGGAGGAATAATAGCTTGAAAAAAAATGAAGTAGACAGCAGAATATTTTCTTTTTAGATGCATAGACGACGTGACCTGGGATCCAAATAGCAACACGTTAAAGAGAAGCAAAGCAAAATGTGAGATAGAGAGATGGAGACATATATAGGGCATTGTCAATGCGGTGGCACCAACTAAAAGTGACTGCTCAAATATAGAAAAAGAGTGACTTTTGGGTATACAAGTAGGCCCTCATCTCCATCTGCAGCTAGAGTAAAGATTTGACTACTGCCATTTTGGAGCTATGCCTCTCTGCCTATGCCTTGCCTATTTAACTCATGCTATTATGGCTACTCTGAAATGTTGTGCGCTTATAATTAATTAATTAAAATATATATGCAGGTTTCTTATATGAAAATTGCCTTTATTACTTTCACAGATGTGCTTTTGGAGATCATTCTTATATGAAGAATATTGGAATATATATCAATATGCATGGGAAACTCTCTCTCTCTCTCTATACATAATACACTGATACACATGAGTAACTAAGACACAAGACTGGATGAGCGGCATGAGTTTAGCAGAACGATACTGTTGTGGGAATAATTAGAATATGACATGAGTTTAGTGAAGGTATATATGTACGTGTTTTATGACAAAATTAAAGATCAATGGTTATGTACATCTTTCAATTAGAAACTGGCGCAAGAGCGCTGGATTAATTAATTAGTTGGGCAAAATTATTGGTTTAATTTCTGATATAGAAAGGATATTACAGATTTATGTATAAAATGAGCAAAGTAGACAGTAGACAGACACAAATAACGTACACCATATATGCTTATTGCTTAAGTTTTTAATTAACATAATGATCAGTAATCTAGTACATCATCAACACTGGACAATAATGAATGGGTTGGTAGGGGATACATACAATACTATAACAAATTAATTAAGAGGCATGCACATGGTCAACCTCATTTTCAAATATTAATTAGATATAACACAATGATAACAAAATCCAATTAGAAACTAAAAAGTGATTAACAATAATGATAACTATGATATGATCATGTTAATGTCATCATCACCATCATCATGACTACCCTTCTCTTCCAATAACATATATAGTGTGCAAGAAATTGAATATACATATATACATGCATGCATGATGATAATGTAAAGTACATATATATATGTATTAACTAACAGTTGACACATCCCCTTCAAACGAAGATTCAGGATTAATGGAAGGCCCCTCACCTCACCCTCTTACTCTTTGTGATCTTGAGATATTCAATGGGACCTGAACACCAATATCTTATTTATTATGATATGAACACACGTGGGAATGTACAGAGAAATAAACCTAGCTATACGCATGAAATTGAAGCTGGCCAACTAACAGTGACTGAGAAAGAAGTGGTTTGTCTGTGTTTGGCCTCCAAAACAACCAACAAATCCCTCCAGACTCATTTACAAACAGTTAAACCAACGGTATAGGACAAGACACGTGGCCGACATGCAAATCAGGGAAGGCCAACCGACGACTAATAAGAAGAAGAATATACCTTGATAGTGGGGGTTAATATGATGAGATCAAATTCATCTTTCTGACCTGGTCCTACAATTTAATCTTCTTTTAGAAGGTGCTTTCTTTATAATCTCACTCTTCCCCACTTGCATGCTTTTTTTCTGAAATCAATCATAGAGCACCAATGTCAAGCTGTGGGGTGCAACGCCCAGAAATATGAATTATAATGCTCCCTTTCTATTCATTTTATTCAAACCATTTTATGATCATAACTTGCTTTTCATACATTACCATGTTGACTAATTCCAACCAACCACTTTTTCTCCCTCTTTCTCTTCTAATTCCCAATGCCTAGCTCTTTCAGTTTAACACATACACCGCCATAACCCTCTCTTCTCATGCATGAAACATTAAAACTCTTTATATAAGATCCATTTCCCTTTTCTGTTGCTTGATTTTATTTATATCTTTCTTTCTGATCTCAGTACTCGCTTTTTTGTTAGTAAATTTAGATCGGAGCTACTGCACCTGCAGCTTTCTCATATCTGAGCCCTCACTTTAAGTTGCAGCAGCTTGCTTAAAAATCAGGTAACATCAAGCGCATAATTTTGGTAAGCTTTTTCGTTCAATAGTTTTTTTCATCTGTTTCTCCTAGATTAAACGTCCATTACCATACATTAATTTGTATTACATAATCAGTCTTAAGGAGGATTGTGCTATTTGATCATGTAATTAGTTTCGAAAAATAGTTGGATATTTTGATTGGATTGAAAGAAAAAGCCTTGAACAGCTTGTTCCATGTTTCCCACTTAAACCCAACCAAAAGCTCCTCAAGGTGCTTATTTTTTCGGCTAAGTAGATATAGATTCTGCCGTTTTTTTTGAAGATTAAATAATTCAAAAGGCAACTTTATTATAAAATTCCAATAGCTTAATAAAAAATAATTCTCAACAGAGAGTTAATGCTAGAATAAGTACACGAATAGTAATACCTAATTAACGGCATCTGATATTTTATTAAAGTTTTAGAACCATTAATTAATTTATTTGCCATAAGCCTGATATGTACTTTGTGATTTTTCATGTTCATGGTAAAGCTTACCGCTGAATTACCTTTAAATAAAAGTTTTGTGTTCCCTTTCCAGTTTGGAAGAAAAACCGGCGGGGGCTTTTCTGCAACTGTTGGCTGTGATTCCATGTTAGCATTGTGGTCCTTTTTCATCGACGTTTGCTTGTGATAGCACATACCACTAGGTAAGTTACCAGCACCATCTACTGTACTATTATGCTTCATTAATAAAACAACAATATATTTTTTTATACTTTCCTTTTTTATTTATCAAATTTAATTTATTATGGGGTTGTGATAGTATTCAAATATAATGGAACTGAAAAATACTTGAGAGCTATAAATCCACAAAGAGGAGTTATACGTCGATCATAAGATTTTGAAGATGATGGGGGGTTTCATTTATCGATCCAAGCTAGCTAGTTGTAACCAACAGAAATGGTCCTTTAAGCAACTGTTTTCTCTCATTCCAAACTGGATCTTCATCAGGTTTGCTTAGGTTTCTTCTTTTTCATCTAATGTATGCCAAATTTGGCTTAGAAAATACCAAGCTGTATCCCTGTATGCCAAAGTAGCAAAGGTCTAAAAAGCAGGAAAACATAACTGTTGGAGACAGAGAGTGAGCATTTTAATAGTATTAGTAACTTCATTAATTGTAAGGGATAAAATTTTGTTAAGTTGCATGACGGCAGCTCCATAAACGAATAACTGAACTTCAATATGTGAACCTGACAAGTCATTAGATTAAGAGAAGAACTGAATAATGGAACAATATAACAGAATAGCACTATATAGGGCTAGTGTGGATAGCTTGGCAAAACAATTTCTTTCTTTTCCATCAGCTCACGCCAAATGACCCCAGAATTAGCTTCTAATTTATCAACAACGCCAAATGAGGTATGTTTATGGGTGAAGAGGATATTGTGATAAATTTTTGTGGTAACACTTGTTTTGTTTTTGTCCTAAATAGTATCTGGTGCGGGCATGTCCTGGTGTCTAGCAAAAATTTGCAATCAATTTTTGATTGAAGGAAGCGAAAATGAAGTTTATGAAGTTAGGGACAAAGCCAGACACCTTTTATACAGAAGAGGCTACCAGGTATCCTCTGTTACAAACTTTACTTTTTCTCAACTTGACATACAAATATGTTTAATCAAGTAATTGAAAATTACTGCAGGACCGTGATTTCAGATGCACCAAGTGACCTCATTATACGAGTTAACAACATTACTTTTCTTCTTCATAAGGTATGAGAACATTAAAGAGCAGATGTTGCGAACATAATCTTCAATTGGTTGTGACCATGGATATGACATGATTATTTTTATCAATCACCATTGTTAATTTTGCTATTTTTAGCTGCAGTTTCTACTTCTTCCCAAGTGTGGCCTCTTACAACGCCTTTGCTCTGATGCTCATGATTCTAACATTGTTACAATAGAGCTTCACGATATTCCCGGAGGTGAAGATGCTTTTGAACTGTGTGCTAAGTTTTGCTATGGAATAACAATCAACCTCAGTGCCTATAACTTTGTACCTGCTTTTTGCGCTGCTAAGTTCCTTCGGATGACTGAATCTGTGGAGTATGGAAATTTTGTTCTAAAACTTGAGTCTTTCTTCAATTCCTGCATTCTCGAAGGCTGGAAGGACTCCATTGTCACACTACAGAACACAATCAAGTTACCTGAGTGGTCAGAGAATCTTGGAATCATTAGAAGATGCATCGATTCAATTCTTGAGAAAATCCTCACGCCCCCAGCAAAGGTTAAGAAATTTTTATCTCAATTCACCCTAGTTTATGAAATATGTTGATATTTGCTTACAATTGATGATTTCTTCATACAGGTCTCATGGTCATACACATATACTAGACCAGGGTACACCCAGAAACGCCACCAGTCTCCACCAAAAGATTGGTGGACAGAAGACATATCCGATCTAGACATAGACCTTTTCAGATGTATAATCACAGCTGTTAGATCAACATATATGCTGCCAACACAACTTATTGGTGAAGCTTTACATGTTTATGCCTGTCGTTGGCTACCAGACACCACAAAGAATATATCTCCAGAGAGTTTAGCTTCTCAAACAGAAGAAACGTTAGAAAAGAATCGCCGAATTCTTGAAACAGTTGTGAGCATGATTCCAGCTGACAGAGAATCAGTTTCAGTTGGGTTTTTGCTTAGACTCCTTAGCATTGCTAATTATCTAGGAGTTTCTCCAGTGACAAAGACAGAACTGAGAAGGAGAGCTAGTCAGAAACTTGAGGAGGCAACCATTAATGACCTACTATTTCCTTCACACTTATCCTCTGATCAGCATCTTTATGATATTGACTTGGTTATGGCTGTCTTAGAAAGTTACATGGTGGTATGGAGAAGACAATCCCCTGCATCTGCAGATAACAGCGAGAGTTTGAGATCTATTAGAAAGGTTGCAGAACTAATTGACTCTTATCTTCAAGTTGTTGCAAGGGATGTCAACATGCCTGTATTCAAAGTAATATCTCTTGCTGAAGCATTGCCAGAAAGTGCCAGGGAAGAGCATGATAACCTTTACAAGTTCATTAACATATATCTCAAGGTAAGGATTAAAAACTCTAGCTTTACAGAATGCAAATATCAATTTAATTCATATTGACCAAAAGAGTTTTAACTGCAGGAGCATCCTGGATTAAGCAAAGCAGAAAAGAAGAGGCTGTGTCGAATTCTAGACTGCCAAAAACTATCTCAAGAGATAAGAGCCCACGCGGTAAAAAACGAGCGGTTACCACTGAGAACAGTAGTGCAAGTCCTTTTCTATGAACAGGAGGGCGGTTCGAGGGGAAGTGGGCATGATAAGTATAAGACGGCACCTCAGGGCCAGGGAAAAATTGATCATTATATGAGTAAGTTAAAATTGGGTCCAGAAGATAAATTCTCTGAAACAAGCGAGAAAGTGATGAAAAGAATAGATGGAAAGTTGCAGGTGGAGAGGAGAGATATTGAAGAAATTGAAACAGAAAGTAGAAGAGAAGGAAATTCTGGAAGGAAGTTGGATACAATTCCAATAACTAAGAAATCAAGTAAGTCATCAGACCATGGGCGAGACAAAGGGAGAGACAGATAGAATGTTTGCATAAACTGTAATTTGTGTTCGATTAAAAGCTTTTTTTTTTTTTTTACTGTTACCCAATTTAATTGGATATAAATCATATATCCTTTAATATATACAATATATATTTTCATAATTTATAATTTATAATTTTGTCATCAAATTACAAATGTCCATTACAGATCCCCTTTTGGACTCCACTAAACAAACTATATTTGCCAAAGGACCGCTAGTGCTTTAGATGATCATTAAATATTGACCCACTATGCATTCGGACAGACTACATCTTATCTAAATATTGACCGACTATGCCTCTATATAATCCCGCTTTTCATAAAAATGGCAAAAATTCGGCTTCACCCAGATCCGGTCCGGGTGACTTTTTAACGCGGGTCCCGGTATATCTTCCAGACCTGGGTATTTTCCGGGTCGGATCGACGACAGGCTTTTATTTAAAATTAAAATAAAATAAAAAATCCTAGTCTAATTTTCCTAAATCTGAAGTCGATTAAATTCCACTCACAAACAGCACACAGCGCCTCTCACCTCCAGGCCGACTTCGATCGATAACACCGTCTCCGTTCGCCGACATCGTGCGGAATAGAAGCTGTGCTGGACACCCACTCTGAAGCAACGCATATGCGCGACGTCGCTGAGCCGCTGAAGGCTTCCTCGAATTTTCCGGCTGTTTATTTCACTTCCAGAAACCGCTGATCCAAACTTCAATCCGAGCCTTCAACAGGTTTTCTTCTTTTTGCTTCAATTTTTTTTTTTTTTTTTAATAACAAAATAATGTATATATCCATATTAATTTTTTATTTGAATCATCGGATATTCATTTGACAGTTTTCAATAAAGTTGTTTAAGATATAAACTTTTAGATAATTGTAATGATTTAGTCGCCAACCCACTATTGAAATTAGAAATTTGAATATTATACCATAAAGTTGTTCAGTTAAAAAACAAAGAAAGAAAATCAGAAATATGGGAACTATGTGTATATGGGCAAATAGTAGCAATGATCAGGGAAGGGCAGCAAAGCAGGTCTCTTGGTTCACACAAAATCCACATAAAGTACCCTTTTCTATCATTAAAACGAGATTTTTGATTCAACTACTTTCAATTGTTTAGTTACTTCTACTCGTATCAATCTATCATAGTTTAAAACCCTTGCTTTTGCAACTTATCTTTATTTTTGGTGCCATGTCAGGTGATAATTTAATATTACTGAATGTTGTTGTATTTGACCGCTCTCTACGTATAAGCGCCTTTTTTTTTTTTTTTTTTTTTGTTTGGGGGGTGGGGGTTGGTGATGAGGAGGTTTCTTCTGATTGATTAGTTAGCTTTTATTTTAACATTACAATGATATAGATTCATTGTTTAATAAAATATTTGTCTTTTTTGGTGTAATGTGTTTACCCATGTTTGTATGTTGAAATTAGGGTTTTTGTTTGGAGGGTATTGTAGCATAACCTTGAGGATGGAGCAGATGCATAATTGACTGTCAAGATCTGAGGTCTTTGTAAGAATGTAGCTTTTTCATCATTGATTGTTCTTTAATTATTGGGTAGTTTATTTTGGTGATTTAGGAGTAGAGAATGTATGGAAGAGCAGGTCTTGATCGCTTTAAAAAAGCTCAATCATTGGAACCATTTTCAGTCAGTATAAATTCAGCAACAAAAAATGCTTCTAAAGCAGTTAGTAATTCATCGGTGCAATATTTACCTTCTCAAACTTACCAACAGCAAACGCAGTATCAGAACCAACACCATGATCCTCAAAAACCTGCTAAACAGGAATCCCTGCTTTCTGTTGGGAAAACTCAGCACCTGACACAGGTTGGAGGGGGACAGTCGACTTGGCAGCCACCTGACTGGGCCATTGAGCCTCGTTCTGGTGTGTACTATCTTGAGGTATTGAAGGATGGTGAGGTTCTTGATCGGATTAATTTAGATAGGCGGAGGCACATATTTGGGAGGCAGTTTCAAACTTGCGATTTTGTACTTGATCATCAGTCTGTTTCTCGCCAGCATGCTGCAGTCATTCCTCACAAGAATGGCAGGTTAGAACTTTGCTTAAGCTTCCTTGACACATTTTTAAATGCTGTTGTATATGGTTCTCTTATAAACTGTGACATGCTATTTGTTTGGAATTACAGTTAAAATTTCCCTGGAGTTCCAGATTTATTTTACTTGTGATAATTGAACGTGTGTTGCTCCTATTTTTCTTCATTATTGACCAAATACAAAAATAATGAGAAGGTTATAACAGAATTCTCATTTGCATGATAACAAATTATGTTTTACCATGGAGCTAGTGTCTTTAGTTCAATGTTGGTTAATCAATACAAAGCTGAGTATCTGTTAAGATGAAGTATGAAGCACATGGTAATGAACTTGTTTCTCTCTCTTTCAAAAATGAATTTGTCTGAGTTTAAAGTTGAAGTTGAAGACTGTTATTTTCGTTTTATGCCAATACTGAAGTTAAAAGAAATTTATTGTTGTCAGTGTGTCATATAAAAGCTTTTGTATCTTGTACAGCATTTATGTAATTGACTTGGGATCAGCACATGGTACTTTTGTTGCGAATGAGCGTTTAACCAAAGACATACCTGTTGAGCTTGAAGTGGGGCAGTCTTTGAGATTCGCTGCATCAACTAGAGCTTACATCCTCAAAAAGAATGCTGATGCTCTTTTTCCTCGTCCTCCACCACCCACAGAGATCAATTTACCACCACCTCCTGATCCATCTGATGAAGAAGCTATTGTGGTCTATAATACTCTTCTGAACCGTTATGGCCTTACTAAGTCTGATCTACTGTCTGTATCTGGTGAGGCTGGCTGCTCTCTAGGTGGAAGTGACACTGACAGCCAGCAGACAGAGAGGGCTGCTAAAAGAATTAGGAAAAGAAGTGTGTCCTTCAGAGATCATGCTGGTGGAGAGTTGGTTGAAGTAGTTGGGATTTCAGATGGTGCTGATGTAGAAACAGAACCTGGTCCCATTGGCATGAAAGAAGGAAGTCTTGTTGGAAAATACGAGTCTCTTGTGCAAACTACAGTGATACCAAAAGGTATGGAAAAACATTATGTGAAGGAAGAGAATGCTTCACCCAAAGGTGTGACTGATAAACTACAGGAAGTGTTGAATAAGGTGAAAACAGTTCCAAAAAGTGGGATATATGATGATCTTTATGGAGATTCAATTTCCAGCAAAGTGGGGTCGTCATGGGCATATTCTACAGTTGGTTCTGCTGCTACTCCGGCTTCTCCAACTAAAGATGCTCAAGGAAAGGCTACTGGCGCATCAGGTGGAAAACCTGGAAATAACTCTGGTTCATATGACAATGACGATGATGATTTATTTGGTGACTAATGAAAGTGGGTTGACAATAATCTTGCAAGGCTTAGTGAAATTCTTCTTTTTTATGGAATTCATAGAAGATGGAAACAACAAATGCGACATTCAGGGGACATAACAAGCAATTGTTTCCATTGTAAATGGGAAATATTTGTTGCAATCTATCAGCAGTTGTTATTTCTGTAATGAGATGCGCCATTGGTCCCATTGTGGGTTTTAACCTCGAGCAGTTGGTTTGCTTTAGACATGTTCAACTTAAGAGGGAATGGACCAAAGATTCACGTTGTGGCATTTTTTGGTGCTGATAAAGTTGTTTTTGTTATTGCATTTCCTTCCTGCGAACTGTCTTAAGCGTACAATAGGAGAAAATTTAGCTGACCGGCCATCCCAAATTTGGATTTAAGAAAATGGTCTTGAAACTGTTTTTCATTATTTTTTAATTTAGAGAAGCTGATGTGGCACAATTAGGATCCATTAAACATGTAAAATGGGTTAAAATGAAAATATTAAAACATATAAGGACAAAATCATAATTAATGAAAGTTTTTAAAATTTGAAATTTGAAAAAGAGCCCCACCCATTCAAATCGCTTAATCGAAACCAATTAAGGCAAAAATCGATATCTTCAATCACTAAACGCATTTTGTGCAATTTTCGGCAATAACAGTCCACATTCCGACAAATTTTCACACTCGAATTCAATCCTAAAGCTTTTTCCTTTCTTAAAACTATGGTTGACATTCACAATGAGGACGAAAACCCAACGCCTCTTCGAATCGTAGAGACTGGCCGCGCAAGCAGTTCAATGGCTGTTTCGGTGGATCCTCCGATCAGTGAAGGTGTTCCAGCAGCGGAGACGACGGCAGCACAACAAGAGAGAGAACATGAGCAAAACGGTTCTGAAGAGGAAAAGGAGGCTGGACAGAATTCAGGCCAGGAAGAGTAGTCCGGCGAGAGTTCAGACGAGGAGAAGGAGGCCGCTGAGGAGGAGGCCACCGAAGAAAAGGTATTTGTACTTGCCGAGACCTAAGATCTCTTAAGCGATCCTTTGTATCGCTTAAGCGATCCTTTGTATCGCTTAAGCGATTGATGGCTTTTACTCTTGGTTGCTTAAGCTATTTTGGATTGCTTAAGAGTAAAAGCGATAAATCGCTTAAGCGATATAAACGATCGCTTAAGCGATCTTAGATCTGGCAGATGTTGATTCTATCCGAAGGTACAGACTCTTAAGCGCATCTGTAATCGCTTAAGCGCCAAGATAAAAGTGATGAATCGCTTTTACTCTTGGTCGCTTAAGCGATTTAGATCGCTTAAGCGATCTCTTTCGAGGCAGACCAGTCTGCCCAGATCTATAATCTCTTAAGCGATCCTTTGTATCGCTTAGCGATTTTAGATCGCTTAAGAGTAAGTGTCGATCGCTTAAGCGATATAGAAGATCGCTTACAATTCGTTGCTTTTACTCTTAGCGATCTGAAATCGCTTCTTGTATGAGGCAGAATCATCTGCCCATCGCTTAGCGTTCTTCCGGAGCGTATTTTGTTTATATTGATTTGGTTTAATTTTTTTGCTGAATTTTGTTTATTCGATTGTACATTTTCGGAGCATAACTATAGAGAGTACGGATTGGAGGTTGTAAGCGATACGTACCGTACTTCCCTATGATGACAATGAGGTCAACTTGGGATGTTTTAACGAGAATAATGGGATTTTAGGGACAGTAGGAATGGTGAAAGGAGATTCAAAGAGACTTGTTTCAGTCATTTTTGGGATATGGACACAAAATGGAAAAGACATTCTAGGGGTCGGGAGTGCATTATATTTTCTGCACTCAATAAAAAGCAACAAAAAGCACCGAAATGTGGTCATGGTGGATGAAAGCCAATACGTTTCAGGATGATGGAATATCGTTGGTGACTGCTTAAGATGTGGGAAATTGCAGGTGAGGTTAGGAAAAAGAATAACAGACAGTACGGAGCTAAAAGGTGGGCTAACAGGTTTTGGCGGGGAACAAGTCTATTAAGCACAGGATTTAGAGGACAGGTTAAAAGATGGTGAGTTTAACGATTCAGAGACTTTTCAAACTATGCTTGGTATTTTTCTTACATTCGATCCTAATGGCTAGTACTCAACAAAGCCGTTGATATTGATAGGGTGAAGTTTGTAATCAACTTGAACTTCTTTATGCTTATCCGTGGGGACGGTATCATTTAAGCGAACCATGGAGTCCTTGCAACAAAAGCCTGGCATTAAAGCACTCCCAATGGGCCGAGAAGATAAACCCGCGACGTACAATTTGTTTGGCTTCCCATGGGCAATGCAGGTAAATATTAATAGATTTTTGTTATATTTTTTTTAATATATGTGTTTGAATTATGATATGGACTGTTTTTTTACAATGTAGGCTTGGATGTATGAGGTCATCCCTGTCCTGGCTAAGCGAGGGGGGGGATTAGGCTTCGGTTGTGCAACAGACTTTCCTAGGATGTTTTCGGTGGCACGACCAGAAGTGTACCCATTCGAATTATAGAGCAAAGAATTGAAATTCATCGGCTCAGGTAAGATTAAAGGATTAAGCTTTTGAACATGCACTTGCTTTAAAATGTCGCTTAAATCTGATTGATTTTGTTTCTTATTGCAGGGGGTAGTCCGTCCCTTCCTCACCGCTACTGGGGGTGAAGTGCAACAGCACTATGTCCATCTTTCCGACATTGGAGGATCAAGGATGAAGGGATAAACCGCCTGACGCGGCCTACAAGGGGTCCACATGTGAGGCAGTTCAAGGCCATTGCTTAAGAATGTGGTTGCGCCAAGAGGATGAAGTCGCAATCGGTGGGAGAGGAGGAGGAGGGAGGAAGAGGTTCATATGCCTCAGCAACTATTACACAAGTACCGCTTTGCCAGCGTCGGGGTCGGAGAAGTGAGGTGGTTAACCTCATAAAAGTTTGTTTTGATAAAGGGAAGAGCAGTTGAAAAGGGTTGAGGAGAAAGTGGATAAGGTGGCAGAGAAATTTATAGGGTGGAGGAGGAAGTTAGTGGAATATTGAAGGCGGTTAAAGTGCAACCTGGGCTGAAAAGAGAGAGCCGAAAAAGCGGTTGTAGAATCGCCTTACACCGTACTAACACGTGATTAAGAGGAAACAAAGAAACAATTGAGGAAAAAGCCAAAATGAGGGGTTAAAGAGGTTTTTAGAGGAATTGGGGCAATTATAATGGAGGAGGTTAAGGCGGAGCGAAGAAAGCGGGATGTACAAATGGAGGAAGGGGAAAGCGGCACAAAATGGTCCACTGTCGATTTGTATAGGCTAATAGAGGAGGAAAAGAAAAAGCCCTTATATCTATTACTGAATCCTAAGTGATGCCCTTTAAAGTGTAAGACTGGGGATTATTCTCGGATTGGTTTGAAAAGATTTTGAAATGGGCAACTGGCTTCACGATTCGGTGAGTTATTTCGCTTAATTTTCCTTATTTTTGCTTATGTTTTCCATGAGGTATTTATACTTATCATGTTGTTTTTATTTGATGCAGCACATCGATGAGGTATTGGCACTGATGAGGCTGCGCCAAACCAGCAATGGTGATCTACTGTATCCCAATAGTGCCATCACCGATGTGGCCTTTGGCCAAACACTGGTTCGACATATTGCAATTTATTAAAAAAGGCCATTGGTACATCTGTAGCAAAAGGAGCCAAGCGAAAACGATAGGCATAGAAGACTTGGACTGCTTCCCTAATGATTTTAAGTTTGATCAAAGATGATGCAGTATGTAATGGGGGACAAGCCCAAATATGGCCACAGTTGCAAAGGTTAAAGTCTACTGCATCATCCTGGTCAAGAATATGCACTGGATAGCAGTCGTCGCGCTCTTAGAGAGAGGTTGCTGAAGATCCTTAACTGTAACCAACAATTTGTCAAGACAGGCATTTGGAGGCCGTTGGAGCCATTGTCCGTGTTGTTCCAGTGGTTGTTACGCGACGGGATGTTTGAGCACCTCGGTGATGAAGCATTGACGGAAAGTGGCCACTTAAACGCGTTCCCGTCCCAACAATGAGTCAGGTAAATTTTGTATAACTAACTTACATAATCATTGTTCTATAAGCTAATTCTAATGCTAATGTCATCTTCTATTGCAGTGCTGATGTGTGGGGCATATGCCCTGAAATTTATTCAGTTTGACATGACCAACACCCGATGGACGATTGAATGCACAAAATAACCATCTTTCAGGAGCGCTGGGCTATGAGTGTTTCTGGGGAAATGGATCTGTTTTGAGTGACCACAACCCAATCAAAAGGTTTGGAATTTGTACTTGATTTTGTAGTTTATGTGATGTTGATGTTGATACTGGGTTGTGGTGCTGATGCTGCAGTGTCTGCTTTTACACAGCTTTACCAAAGTAGACGACTCAATGACTTTTCAATCTTGCACTCCATAACTTGGGTTCGTGAAGAGAAAAATTTTACTCCCCGGACATCCCAACTTTCCATTTAACAAATTGGCCCTGAAAAACTTTTTTTTTTTTTGTGTTTTATTTAGAAAATCGACGTGGTTGCAGGTGTCCGGATAATTTTGCAGGTTGCTGGCAACATGAGAGGAACTCCTCAAACTGGCTTGGGCTGTCAGAGTAGCTCTGGCAAGGCATCTCAATCAAGGCTGCTAGCCAGGAGGGCATCTGCAATCAAGGCTGCTGGCAAGCCATGGTACCATGAAATGATCTCAGACGTGATTATACCGAATTGAAAACTTCTCAAATGTGCGGCATCTGCAATCAAGGCTACTGGCAGGCATGGTACCAAAGAATGATCTCAGACAGTGATTATACCGAATTCCAAAACTTGTCAAAGTGACTTAGGATTTATTCTGTTTTGCACTATTATGAATGATTTTAAGTTTAAACTTTCAATTACATTGATGTCTCTTATAATTTGATCGTGTGATGGATTAGTTGATATAAATGACTTCATTTTGCTGCTTATTCTTTTCGAATTTGGGAGGAAAATGAGTTAAATGACAGATTATTACATAATACAGGAGAAATGTGATCTTCTCTTTTTGTCATGATCGCTTAAGCGATATATGAGCGCCAACATATATCTCTTAAGCGACCAAGATTTTTTCTCAAATGATCGCTTAACGATCTAAAATCGCTTAAGCGACCAGATTGAATGCAAAAATCGCTTAAGAGATACCAGAGATCGCTTAAAACGATCATAGATCTGGGCAGATTTTATTCTACCTCAAAAGATCGCTTACATTGTTAATTCGCTTAAGCGACCAAGAGAAAGCGATAATCGCTTAAGTGATACTAAGGATTGCTTAGCGTCATCTATTGCAGA